TTTTGTTCTTGGCAAGTTTTTGCTTGTTAGGGCTAGACGTTTCCCCAGTAGTGCTTAAAAAAATAAAATNTACTGAGATATTGGGGGAAATTTCATTTACCATATTAATTTATTTAAATTGATTAAATCTACATGGGTCAATTTTGTTCTTGGCAAGTTTTTGCTTGTTAGGGCTAGACGTTTCCCCAGTATCCATTTGAAGTGCTTAAAAAAATAAAACATATTCAAGTGTTTTTATGTTTTAAATTTTAAAGGCATTTAATTAACTAAGTTTATAAATGGCACTATTTTGTTTAAGGAGAATTTAGCCTACTCAACTGTTAATCAAACATCAATTAACAATCACAAAGGTAGTTGTTCTTAGTTCATACAGAAATTATAACAAGATTTATGGATGGTACTTAACCAGGTTGTCAATCTGTAAATTCATATGCCAAATATTAATTTAAGCCCCACCTAAGTAAATCATCACTAATTTGAACAAATAACCCTCCAAGGAAACAAATAAACTAATTTTTTTGCAGAAATAACAGTGTTTTTTAAATTAACAAAGTCAGGTAGCTGCCCCAAAATAGTGTGGCTTTGAGAAGCTCACCCCCAATCATCTGGAATAGTAGGGTGACAGTGGTGGTTCTTGAATACTTCTTAGAAATAACCAGCTCTATATTTAAGAGTCTGAATTCCAGACTTTTTTTTAATGGATGTTCAGTTTCATAGGCAGAGTTAAGTTATGACATCATAGGGAGGAGGAAAGCCTGTTCTTGGCTCAGGGCATTCTGACGATAATTGTTACTACAAAGACTTTTCTGGACACTACTCCCTTGAAGAAAAGAAGACATTTTACACTGTTGCTTACCTTGGGGTAGTAGTCATTGATAACATGTTTTCTTCTAACTGAAAATAGCATTGCCATCCCATTACCATCCTATTAGCCCATGTTTTGAAAGAAAAACACACACACACAAAAACCTGACATCTGACATCTGCAATGTTGGTATCTGGCCTTCTATGAGAATTCTCCTGACTGATTTTTAGAAAATGTAAATAGTTTCTTGCAGAGTAATCTCAGACTATTAAATCCCAGCAGATATTGAGGTGTCACTAGATCTTTGCTTCTATTTGATAGATGACAGAATTTCAATGATTCAGAAAGGCAAAATAACTCATTTTTACTTGTTATTTGGACAATTCAATGAAATTTCTCAAATCATAATGGTTCTTGTTATTTTTCTTCTTTATCTGTGTATCCAGGACAACAGCTGAAGGACAGATATTGTGGTTTCAGGAAAAGGGACTTGCTCTGGGCTCAGAACCCTAGTGTTCATGACCTACTTCTGCTCCATACTCCCATACTCCTATGGCTTTGGAGTAGTCACCTAACTTGTTGGAACTTTAGTTTTTGCATCACCATTACCCTCTATTATGTAAGTAAAGATTGATTCACCAAACAGATTTCTAGACACAGTACAATTCTGACCATTGATCTTGCTCATTTCCTCCCTTTTCTGTCAACTTCCCATCTCCAAGTGACACCCAGAGCTCTTTCAGAACACATCGCCAAGCCTCTGAATTCCCTTTCTTGCCTACCCCCAAAAGCTGGTATCTGGATGAAAATGTACCTTCAGGGAATACCACACGGCCATCATTAACTAATTTGTTTTTTGTCCTTAATGCAGTAAAGGACAGATTCATTTTTACCTTTGATAAAGAGAGATCTTGGGTAGAAGATATGCAGGTGCTGCGAACTCTTAGTTTTGTGAGGGCGAAGGCTGCCTGTGTCCTGTTCATTGTTGTAGTGAAGGGCTTACCAAATAACCTAGTATATAACAGTTATTCAAACAGTTGTTGGGTTTACTGGTCGATCTGAAATACATTTAGATATTCAGAGACACCAAATCAGACTCAATATTTATTTTGTGTTTCACTGTTGATCAATGTCTTAGCCCATTCCGGTTGCTAGAGCAAAATATCATGAACTGGATGGCTCATAAACAACAGAATGTATTCCTCGCACTTCTGAACCCTGAGAAGTCCAAAAATCAAGGCACCAAAATATTTGGTGTCTCATGAGGACCCCCTCTCTAGAAGAGCATCTTTTTTTGCTGCAGCCTCACATGGCTGAAGGAGCAAAGCTTGGGCACCTTTTTATAAGAGCACTAATCCCATGAGGAGGCTCTACTTTCATGACTTAATTACCTTGAAACAACCCCGCCTCCTAATGACATCACTCTGGGAATTAGGATTTCAACATATGAATTTCTAGGGGGACACAAACATTCAGCCTACAAGCAATCAATATTCTTACACTCAAAGTTACCACTCACTCAAACAGACCTCCACACTTACTTTCACTGGAGATGATATGAAACGATGAACCGCCATTGGTTATGCATATCCTCAGTATCTGATGTCAAACGGTTGGGGTGCTCAGGTGATTCTGTGCACACAACAATTCCCATATTCCAATACGGCAAGTAGAAACGTTTCAAGAGTGAGAACACGTGGTAGACATTTTCTGACTGTCTATTTATGATTATCTAATCTTGGCAAATTGGGGTTAGAAAAAAAAGTGAAGCAAATATCAGCTATGTTTTGAGATTTTTTTTCTATGTATGTTTTTTTCCCTTTATAAAAAGAAAGTAAAGGAACACAAGAAGGAAAGGAGAAGAGGGAAAGTCAGAGAACAGGGAAAATCCAAGAGGAAAAAGAAAAAGAAAGAAGAAAAGGAAGAAGGATAGAAATATCTAATGTCCAGAATTTAGTTTTATCTCAAAATTCTTATTAAAAAAAAAATACAAACTTTCTACCAGTCAGTAGAGCTCAGTCAGGATACGAGTTCCCTCCACTTGTCTTTCTAAGTGAGCTGAGACAGTCAGGCCAAGAACTAGCAGCGCCTCCTCCAGCCCTGCCATCCCTCTTGCACTTAAGTCTAGAAGAAAATCAGCCAGCAACCCAGATTCAGCTCCCAACTCCCAGTGTAATGGCCATGGAAGAGAGAGTCCAGTAAAAAGCTAGTTCTGCTCTGATGACAATGGTCAGGAGAAATGCAATAAAAATTCTGAGCTTGAGACACAAAGGGTATTAACTTAGTGTTAACTCCATCCCATTATTTGGCCCAGATTTTTATTCCTTTGGCTTTCTGGGGGATGGAAAAGATGGCAACCCTCACATGCAAATCATGGTTAGGAAAAGCATGGTCAGCACTTTCTCCATCAGCCACTTCTTTCTGGAAGGAAAGCAAACCCTATGCAAAGCTGAGAACCAGAAATCACGCATTGACAACAGGGGCCATTCCTGTCTTTTTGGTTTTGTTTGTTGACCCAATACAAGAGTTTCTTTTCTAAGTGTCTGATGTTAAAGAAACCTTGATTCAAGCCCTGGCCAGTGTGGCTCAGTTGGCTGGGCGTCGTCCCATGTACCGAAAGGTTGCTGGTTCGATTCCCTGTCAGGGCACACGCATGGGTTGCAGGCTTGATCCCCAGTAGGGGGCGTGCAGGAGGCAGCCGACCTATGCGTTGCTCTCTCCATTTCCCTTCCTCTTTGTCTCTAAAAAATCAATTAAAAAAACTTTTAAAAAAAGAAAAGAGAAGCCTCGATTCAGGAGAACAATGCAAGTGGGCTTGGGAGGACTCAACGGGCTTTAAATGATTAACACTGTCCAACAAACCATATCACTGCAGTGCACTTGATCGTGACCGGAGAACGCAGGACTCCGCGCCCTGAGAGATTAAGAGTTAATGAGTAAACCAGAAGTGTTCAGGCCTGGGAGCTGCAGTCTCCATCTGCCTCACAACGCCCGTGTCAGTAACAAAGCCAAGCCAGCGTTTTATTTTCCCACCGCCCCATCAGGCATCAGCCACAAAAATGTTTTATCTCATTTTACAGGTGGAGAAAGTGAGGCCTAAAGAGAGGAAACTGCTTCCTCAAAGTCACACGGTAAAGGTAATGCAGACAAGAAACCAAATGTTCTGCCCCCTACGCTTCTGTCTTACAGGAATTATTGAGGAGTTGGTAGCTCTCATTATATCATTGGTTTAACATTAGGTTGAACATTAGGTGGGTTTAACATTAGATGGGTTCTGAATATCTTCTTTGCCATTTTTATATTGTGGTAAAATATGCATCACATAAAACTGACCATGTTAACTATTTTAAAGTGTACAGTTCGGCGGCAGTAAGTAATTCTCATTGCTGCGCGACCATTACCAGCATCTACTGCCAAAGCTGCTTCTGCCCTCTCCAACTAAAATTCTGTGCCCATTAAAAGGTAACTTCCTAATTCTCTCCTTCCTCCAGCTCCTGGCAATCCCTTCTGGATGTTATTTCACAGCAGAAAGAAATGTTGACTTTGAGCTTGATTTACAACCAAAAAAAAAAAAAAA